TCCCCCTGCTTTCTCCGCCCCCCCCCTTCGGTGCGCGTGGGTGTGGTCAGTTGGTTGTTTTATTTGCGATTCGGAGTCGGGGGAGCAGTGACAGAAGGGCGCCCTCAGGGAGGGAAGCGTGTGTGGGCGTTTACCAGCCACGGTTAAGGAAGATAAGTTGAAGCTCCCCCCGATATCCTGCCTGGTGTACGCGCGGGACGGCCTGGCCTCTCCTGGCAGGCGCTGCCAGCAACGGGAGAAGCAAAACCTTGAAGAAAATCCACGGCTTCGGTGGACAAGGGAGTTCGTTGTCCTGACTTGACTAATAATTTTTCCTGGAGTTTTAGTTTTGGGATATTTCGCTCTTAAACTCCTAGTTCGGGTTTGATTTTATGCTGATCTTTCTGGCTAGGTGTTTTAAGAGCCTTTTGTGGCCCTAATTATAAATGGCGTGGTTTTTTTGTTGTATTATTGCTGTTGCTGCTGAATGTATGCAAGGGACAAAAGGTGCTTTGCATGTAATATGGACAAGACAGAACTTTAATATAATTTTAATTCATGTTCAGCTGTGCAGTGTTGGTTAAAACAGCCTGTCTCATTCATCCTTGAACAATTAACCTTGTCTGAAAAACAGACAGACCGAAAGAAACCTAGTCAGGGAAATTTGCCTTTGTGTCTTGGTGGAGAATTAGCCACCAGCGTGCTTGTAACAAATGTGGATAGAGCCTTTCCCAAATCTTCCTTCGGGAAGCCCAGCCATGATGATATATCTGCGGCCTTAAGCACTTTCCTTAATTTGCCTTGAATGAAGCCCTACGCACCTTATTCCATCGGATTCAGGAAATGTTCTGCTTGTTTGTTTGATCAGTTTATAGATCACTGTTTATGTTTATGCAGGTTTTTGTTTGATGACTTAATGGCCTATTAGGCTCATAAGTTGCTTTGATTTCTCTCCAGGCAGACAAACTGTTGGAATCATTGAAGCAACACTTCAAAGAAACAGAACAAGAAAATATGGTAATAGATGATAAATCAGCTATTGTTTTTAAGATATATAAACTTAAATTTATAACCAGTAGGATGGGGTGTGTGCTGGAGGGTGGTTCTGACCGTGATGTGAACTGTAATAGAAATACCTTTTTCTTCTTAGTGCCCTTACCTCAATGTACTCATATACTGATAGAAATAGGTATGCTAATGTTAGTTTTGAAGTGGCCTCCCATATGACCCAAAGCTGTTTTCCTTTATGGTGCAAAAATTAATAATGCATTTTTCAGCATTGGTACAAAATTAGTCTCTGTAAACACTAACATCTAATTTCCATTGAACAAATCTCAATTCTTGTCCGTTTAGCTCCAGACAATAGTCAGTACCAAATATAAAAATATTTTATTTATTTTGCATGTCTAGATAGTAATTGGAAAACATTTTGCATTTATTACGATTTACTTACACTAACACTGTAATGAAAGTGATAGAGTTTGTGCTATTTCCTTTATTCATTTCTTAAGCTATTATTTTCTTAACTTTTTTTTAAAATTTTTTTGTAAGCTGAATTATTCTGTTGAGTGTGGTGATGTTTTTTGTTTTTGATAAAAAACAATTCAGCATCTGCTTTTTCTAAAATGTATCTCCCTTTAAGTGCTTCCTTTAAAAATCTTTAAAGGTTTGAGGGAATACTGTAATCCTTGTCAGCTTACTAAAAATTATTTTTGGTGAAGAGTGTTCCACAAATGTACAAGTCTGGGAGGGTTGCAGCATTATGCAAGTTAGATTTCAAATGTGAAATATTAGGCTTTTATAATCTTATTAAAATACAATATAATAAAACAATCATAGAATTTATTTTGAGAGTCCTCAAAAAATGAGCTTTGATGTTTAGGGAAATCTAGATATTGCCAGTTTGGTGATTACTATGCTGCTAAATGGCATGCTTGCTACTGTTTTTCCTCTGTGTGAAATACTTTTTCCAATAATAAAATTGAAACTGTCCCTGGAGTATCTAATAAACGTTTGTGTCAGATATCTACAACATTATAGTATTTTTCTGCTACAGGATCCTGAAAAGAGTGCATCTGCTTCCATCAAATTGGATGAACTGAGCAATCAGGAAATTGTGCCTGATTCAGTGTGTTTTATTACAAAAAGATATTGCAAAGAAAAGAAAATAACCAGAAAAAAGAGGAACTTCCATGAGGAAACTAATACCAGTGAAGAAAACCCAGTGCTTTCTGATGAGAAAGAGGTGACATGCATTGCTTGGTTTTGTCTCCCCTTCCTCTGAGCGTAATTTAAACACACTTGATTTTTTTTTACCACCATTTAGAGATGGTATACATTTATATATGTGTGTGTGTATATATATATAAGAATTTCATATGCAATGTTCTGGTATTGGACTTATGTACTTTCTAGCACTGACTTTTCTCTATCTTAACTATGTGCTATTCCATAATAAACAGACATTACTTGCTAGTCATTGCTTCAAGGAAATAAATTCCTCTAAGAAATATACAATACCAAGCACTTTATTTGAATGTAAGGGTGCTTTTACCTAGTTCATCATAG